GCGGTATGAACTCTTTGTGTGTTTTAGTTATTATTATTATTATTATTATTAGGGTTCATACCACGTAGCATTATGAGCATATGTCCTCATAAGTAAATGAAACATGTCCTGATAGTTTCATTCAAATCGAACACCCGGGGCGCTATAAATGCAAACAAACTGCACGGGATAAAACGCAGATCAGGCTACAAAATACAAATTTTTTGCACCTCATACATACCCTGAAAGTCTCATTCAAATCGACCACTAGGAAGCGCTATAAATGCATAATAATTGGATGTGGAATGAAACATATCAAGCTATAGATCAGAAAATGCTTGTCCAATCGTTACAAGACTTGCAGAATGTGTTTTGTAACAATATTGAACCATGTGTGTGAAATTTCTTTGATGGCAATATTGCGAAAAAAGGTATGAACCTGCGAATCGCCGCTTGTGGCTATATTTAGGGTTCACACCGCGTAGCGGTAGAACCCTATTGTTTTTGTGTGTTTTAATAATACTATTATTATTAGTTGTCTGCCGCACCGGCTCAAATTCCCGTGAGCTGGAATGAGATAGAAACATGAAACTTGGGGGAATAACTGGAAATGGTGTGCATCAGCTTCCATAGAAATATGAACCCAATCGGCCCCATGGTGGCGCTATAATTAGGGCTTAAAAATGCAAAATACACACACACACACACGCTTAATGTTTCATTTATGTATTTTATTTAAATTTTTTAAATATATATATTTATATTTTACACACACACACACTTACTGTTTTATTTATTTTAACTTTTTATTTAAATCACACACATGATTGTTCTTATGTAGTTTGTATGATGCTTTGGCAATATTGTTGTTACACATTGTTACACATGTCAATAAAGCTAAATTGAATTGAAAAAAGAGAGAGAGAGAGAGAGAGAGAGAGAGAGAGAGAGAGAGAGACTATATAATATACACACAGAGGTACAGTAAAGGTAATGTGGCTATAGCCTGAATGAAAAATGGTACAGATATTTACAGTAGTGTTAATGGTAATAATTGTAATGTTAATGATTATAATAACAATAGGACTACTAACAATAATTGGAACAGAGGGTGTCGAGCAGGAACACGGGGCAGCAGGTGACTGGCAACCACAGATCCGGACTCCACAGCTCCAGAGCCAGAAACACCTGCAGAAAGTGATAGTAGGAGAGGGACGAGAAAGCACAAGACAACTGGAAAGGGAAGAAGTCGCAATAGTAGCATTTATGGGATGAGGTTGCATGTAGAGGGAGAGAAAGAAGAGGAGCTCAGTGCACCATGGGAAATCCCCCGGCATTCTGCCTCCTGGACCCAACTGGAACCTGGTTCCACAGGAGAGGAGTTTGATAGCTGAACGCTGTGGCTCCCAGTCTACCTTTGGAGACTCTAGGAACCACAAGTAACCCTGCATTCTGGGAGTGCAGTGCTCTGGTGGGGTAGTAAGGTACTATGAGCTCTTTAAGATAAGATGGTGCCTGACCATTAAAAGCTTTGTAAGTGAGAAGAATGATTTTAAATTATATTCTGGATTTTTTCAGGAAGCCAATGCAGAGAAGCTAAAACAGGAGAAATGTGACCTCTTTTCCTTGTTCCTGTCAGAACACGTGCTGCAGCATTCTCGATCAGCTGAAGAGTCTTAATGGACTTTTTCGAGCAGCCTGATAATAAGGAATTGCAGTAATCCAGCCTAGAAGTAACAAATGCATGGACTAGTTTTTCTGCATCATTTTTAGACAGCATGTTCCTGAGTGTTTAACACTCACAATTTTCAGGGGGAGTACCCCCAGACCCCCCTGTTCATATTGTCACAGTTTTGTTATTTTATTATAATTAGACACATGACATTACAATTTAGCAATTTTTCGGAGGGGGGGGGGGGATCAATTATTATGTGAAGTTTTATGGGCTGGGCTAAGCCACCAATGTTTCAAGATCCTAAAAACGCCCCTGTGTAGGAAGAAGAAGTGATGTGAGTAGGACTGGAAGTAGTAGTCAACTGGTTCATTAGAAGTAAGAAAAGAAGAGAAATGTGGACAAATGGAGGCCCACACGTATTTTTTAGCAGAAGAGCACAGAGCGTGTCAGCCACTGTAGCTTGTGATTGGTGCATCCATGTGCTTCAGAATCTTTTTTTCTCCTTCTTTATTGCAAAAAACATGAGATTTGTGCTAAATTGCATATTGCATATATATTTTGTAAACATGTAATATGGTTATAACAGTTAATTTGCTTTCCATGTAGAGTAAACTAGATGTCTGCATGTTGTTTAAATGCTCTGATAATGCTAATCCAACACATCTTTGTAGTAGCGTCCGTGTTGATTCCACATTCTGAATTAAGAGCACATGAACACACATTGAAGTTGGAACGACTTCACAACTCTGGAAATGGGACTGTCCGAGGAGCATGTGAATGCACCATGAGCCGCTGGTTGTGATTTGCAATCCTCACCACTAGATGCCAGTAAAATTACTGATTCTTTAACAGATTACCAACTCTGCCACCGCAGCATTGGTAACTCATAAATCAGCCACTGGACTTGTCTATACTATTTTTGACCTGCATGTCTTTCACAAGAAAGCAGGACAGGTCAGGTTCCAACTTTCAAAAAACTACAAAATGTGCAACATTAAGCTTTCTGTGTACTTTCTGAAACAAACAGGTCAATGTTTACTTTTTCTGCTGTGATTATCTCTGTATGTGTGAGTAGCCATATTGCAAATGAGAACGGTTTAAATTGCTGATAAATATGCTGTAAAGGTAAAAATAAATTACAGCATTTTTTCATACCATGTTGTGTAAATGTTAATTTTCTGTTCTGATGAGCAGTTGGCAACTTAGTGCTATCAGCATATGAATGTGTCTAAATGGGTTAATGTGACAGTGTGAAGCGCTTTGAGTGGTTATAAGACTAGAAAAGTAAGTACAAATCGTTTACCATGAACACCATATACTAATGGGATAGCCTACAGTATCAGCATGTGAGACAACATTCTGTAGCATTACATTAAAAAAAAAAAGTTCAGAAAGCCAGTTAGCATCAAGGACAAACTGTTACTAGTATGTGAGAATAAGAGAACAAATCATTATGTATTATCAAAAATAAAAACAGATATGGGAAGCAGTGGTGTTTTCTCTCAGAGGCCAAGGGAAACCAGGCTTCCCCTGTTTTTTTTCAGACTATTTATCATTTTAATAAAATCACAATGTTTAGTTTTGATAAATCTTATAAGCTGTTGCTGTCGTCTCATCCCCATTTCTCACCATCTTACAATAAGTGAAACCGCGCTGACTACGCGAGGAGGCCAGGCAGAGTTGGCATCCCTTTGTGAAGAAAAATGAAATGATTAACCAAATCAGATGAGGCCATTGTCATCCCACTGCCTACCTGTGATTAGTCAGGATGATACCAAGGGAAGCCAGCTGCTGACAAATCACAGCATGCGATCAACGTCATTCAGATGAAATAACGGGAGCTGTTAGCAACTTTAGCTGTGCAGTTATGGAGGGTTGAGATTTGGAGTATTTAGTTATAAATAGCTTTACTAAACTACCACTACAGCAGCAATTTAAGATTAAATCTGATGGAAGACCAACGCCAAAACTGGAGCTGCGCCTGGAGAGGAAAAAGGGGTTTCAGACATTCAAAGAGGAAAACTATATCCATATAGAGTGGCTAGCTGGTAGCACCAAACTTCAATTGACTCTGTTGTTGCAGAGAACCTAAATGTCACAGTTTGAGGTGAGCGCAAAGCTGGTGTGAGCCCAAATGCTAGACACTCAGAGCAAAGATGAAGTTCAGGGATTTAATCCAAGAGCAACACAAAAAAACAGGGTTTACAGGTAGTTAAATAAACCAAAATCCAAAACCGCAGAGAGACAGGCAGGCTGCATCACACATAACACAACAGAGTGTATTCGCACTACAATGACCAGACACAGGCTGAAGAAACAAGCAAGTATATATACACACATTGGTAAACGAGCTGGGAGGGGGATCCACAGGTGAAAGACATGAGGGACTAATCAAGCACACAGACAGGTAGAGTGACAGCAGGGGAAAATAGACAGATACTAAAAGAAGCAAAACACAAGACACTAACTGGAACTCAAAGCCCTTAGCAGAAAAACAGGCAAAATAATTACTGGGGGAACAGACAGAAGCAAATCTAAATACAGAAACAGGACAGACAGGCAAACTGAATGATAAACTGAATAATGAGAACAGCTTTGCTTTGCTTGCCTGGATTTAGCTGCGAATGAACAGTTCGTTGAAGTAACCTTTTTGTTTTTACTGCGGTTGCCCTACTCATAGATAGCACCACAGACAGCACCTGCCACAGGGCACTGGGCCAGGTTAGGCTACCTGAATAATTGTTTTTACTCTCTTGGTCTGGTACTCTGTTGTTAGTCTTGAGTGATGTTGTGTTATGAACATTTGGCCAAGCATTAAATAAGAAGTATGTAGGCCTATCTGATACATGCACCACTGCTACTATGCAAATGCCTTCAATTGTCTTCTGATTGAGTTTGTGAATGCTTCTTTTATGCGTAACCATATCCTATTTGTACTGTTCACTGTAAGCAGCGGGCTATGTATGCTTTTTGGGGTGAGAGAGAGTGAGTGAGTGAGAGACAGAGAGAGAGAGAGAACATACTTGTCGGTAAATGCAACTTTCAGCGTGTGTATTGATAACAGTAGGCATCTTTAAAGTATGATTCAATTTTGTGTAAAATTATACCCTGTACTGTAATAGCACAGTGCATTAGATACATAGCCCTCCAACTTGGACATCCTCTCTCACTTGGCTTCCCCCAAAATTTACCCCACCCCACGCCACTGATGGGAAGAAAGGCCTTCATTTTAGAACTGTTAAATTATGGCTTTATATGTGACTCATGTTGGTTAATATGTTTATAAATGTAGGTAAATTTTTGATGTATTCTATGTGCTGCTGATCATTCCCATGTTTCATTCTAGGCCTTCTAGAAATTTCCCCGGTGGAGAGAGGAGTGGTGACTCTGTTTGGGGTGAGAAGCGGTCTCTTCATTGCCATGAACGACAAAGGGAAACTCTATGGTTCGGTAAGAACTGATTAGGGCATGCTAATTTGATGACAAAATGTGTGATCTAAAGTTAAACTGCATCATCTCCTTTGCCCCGACTGAAATATAACGTGGAAGTGCCAAGTGCCAACTGCAGTTCCTCGAATGGCCACTTGCTGGCTTTAAAACCGAGTTGGTCCCCATTGAGCTCCATGTTAAAATGCCCAACTTTACAACAGAAATAAACATGTTTACAGTTTACAAAAGCAGTTTTGGTCTCTATCTTGAGAACCTTGCGATGTTAAATTGCAAAGCTTGGCCATGGCGTGGCGTTGAATTTTGATGTTTCGCCATGAAAAAGGAAGTAACATAAATGGGCTAGACATGGTCAAATCTGTCCTGAATTTCACGTCAACCCCTTAGAGTCTTACATGTCAGTATCCAGTCATAGTGACAGCGCCAACTTCTGGCACCAGGAAAGGGCATGTTTCAAACTTTACCCCTAATGCCTCATTTTTAACACATAGCACCTTAGGGACAAAAATGTCCATTGTGAGACTTTTAGCCTACACATGGCTAGGGATACTTAAAACCTCAAAAAACTTAGCACGCATGTCAGAAGGGGTGTTCTTTGTTGTCTAATATGGTTGCGCAGCGTAGTTGTGAAAAAATGGCTCAATAGCGCCCCCTACAAAATTTCAACAAAGCAGCCCCCACCGTATGTTTTACGTAGCTGTAAAAAATGTGGGGGGCCTAGAGCTTTAACCCGAACGACTTCAAATGTGGGCAGCGCAATCTTAAGAGCCTTGCAATGTTAATTTGCAAAGCCTTTTTTGATTGATCAAACGGTGTGTCCGTGGCGTGCCGTTGAATTGATGTGACCCCATGAAAAAGTCCATGTAAATGGACTAGACATGGTCAGATCTATCCCAAAATTCACAAGTAAACCTCAAAGAGACTTACATGTCAATATCCAGTTATAGTGATAGCGCCACTTACTGGCATCTGGAAAGGGCACGTTTTAAAATTTATTGCTGCTTTGTTCCACAACCACGTCCCCAATCCATATCAGACAATAAAAACCAACACTTTTGATGTGCATGCCAAGTCTGGTGACGTTTTGAACATTCCTAGCCATGTGAAGGCTAAAAAGCCTTTAGGAGGTGCTATAGAGACAACGTACAATCAAAAGTCCCAAATATCACACCGAATACACATGTTACCAATTCGAGTGTGGCTGCAAAGTTTTGTGGCTCTTTCAGCATCCTAAAGGCCTCACACCTGTTGAAATATTGAAAATGATGCAGGAAGTGCAAGATGGCTGACTTCCTGTTGGGCACAATAAATAAAAAAGAAGAAATGTGGTATTTGTGATAAGAACAATAATCCCACCAAATGTTATGCAGATTAAAGAAACCTTTTCCAAAACACATTGTTTGTTTAGGGGCGCTATTGAGCCCCCTGGTCTTGCCCCACCCCAGTCACTGCAGAATATTGGATCTCCCACCAGTCCTGAGGTGTGTGTACATTTTCGTGTGGATTCGAGTATCCTAAGACCATTTATTTATGGCGAAACATCACAATTCAATGCCACGCCATGCCGTTTGAGTAATCAAAAAAAGCTTTGCAATTTAGCCTCGCAAGGTTCTTAAGATGGCGCTACCCACATTTTAAGTCGATCGAGGAGTATGGAGCCTGTAAACGGGGAAAACGCTTGTAAATAATTCAAAATGGCCGACTTCCTGTTGGGTTTAGGGTATGGCTCCAAGAGACTTATTTTTAAGTCCAGAGATGATACATCACTCTCTCACATTTCATACAGCTAGGTAAAACGTACAACAGGGGCTAAAAATGCTTGAATGAATGTGTAACAGCTAAAAATGCTTTAGGGGGTGCTATTGAGCCAACTTGCAACCCTCTGTCTTAAAAATGACAGCAAATGGAAATATTACCAGTTCAAGTCTGGCTGCAAATTTTCGTGGCTGTTAGCTGTTACCCTAACATTTTAAAGGCCTCAAATATCTGTTTAAAAAATTGAAAATGATGCCGGAAGCGCAAAATGTCTCACTTCCTGTTAAGCAAAATCTCATAAGAAAAGCAGTAATGTGGTCTCACCACATCTCATAAAGATCAAAGAAACATTGTCCAAAACCTATTGTTTGTTTAGGGGCACTATTGAGTCCCCTGGCCACGCCCAGGCCCAATCACTACAGAACATTTTCACCTGTTCTAATGTGTGTGCAAACTTTCATGACCTTGCGAAAAATGCGTTTCCGAGGGAGAATAATAATAATCGGAGCAAAAACAATAGGTTCCTTGCACTTCGTGCTAGGACACCGTTGGTGCCCTGCACTTTTGTGCTCAGGCCCTAATCAGACAAAGATGTAGCATGTAGAGCAGGCCATTGGAACTATTTGAATACTAGAACATTTAAATCAAAATAATTCAATTCAATTCATTGTGATTAAGCTGTAGTGATCAATCAGTGTTTTAATTATTTTATGCCAAGAAGAGATTCCAAAAATCTTTTCTGGTGGGGGGGTTATAATTTCAGTTATAAATTCATAATTTCTCAACCCCCCCCGGTTGAGAAATTTCACCCTCAAAGACAGCCTGACCTAGTGCAGTGACCTAAGTGCTGTTTTGGGCAGTTCAGTCTTAAAACTTGCCACCTTTGGTGAAGCCGAGATAAGACTCGGCGCCTGACTGTGACAACATTAACACTAAACAGAAAATAACTTTCTCCTGAACAGCCTATCAGAACTCTTTTGGAAGGAGGGCAGGAAACCCTAAACTGCCCCCCACACATGTAACCATGGCAACTGACCTTCCTCTTTGTTTAATTACCTCACATCAAAGGATATTCTCCTCTTCACACCCAGAGGTGAATTGGTTAGAAACTCCAGAACACCAGAGGAGGACAGCTCACATTCTTGTGGGGACAAGAATTGTGTCTCCTGATAAACTTACCATGTTTAATGAAATAATCTTTGTTAAGTTACTTGGCAGGTCTCTCCACTCCATTAGAGTAGTTATATTACTGTGTTGTTGCTGTTGAAAAGAAGAATCCATATAAGTTAATTTTGCAGTGCTCTTTAATTTTCAGCAATGATTCCTGACATTCGTTTAAGTGATGTTTTTAACCAATACTTTATTCCCTTCTTTTTCTTTATACACTTCGTATACTCCCCAGAAATGATATGATACAGAAATATTATCCTGTGCTACTTAATTAACTTTCCAGCTCAAATTTAATGTTAAATAACCATTTCTTCCCTAGTGAGAGGGTCAATTGTTCTCTCGTGGAACCAGTGTCCCCCAAGAGGACAAACTAAGTATTACATGCCATCGTTCTGAAATGCCGTTTCTGCTGTATAAATGTATTACTCTGTACTTAGTTCTCCGTAATCTGATGCCATGTTCGTGTAACTTGCTTATATTCTCCAAGTAAGAATGTGTAACAGCCAATATTATCCAGGAAATATTGAGTTAAGTCTTTTTCATTCTGAAATCATGAATGTGTTTAATTAACTGGTAACATTCTAATATTACAACGACTAAGTAATTGTTTCCTTTCCCTTTATCGAATGCTTGAAACCAAGAACGGTATAACCGATATTTGATTAAAATACACGCAAATAGACTTTTAGAATAGACAGCGGAGCTCTTTGTTGCTCGCTTTCTCTTCTCTACTCTACCCTTGTGCTCCGTCTCCCAGCAACGCCCTAAGAAGTCCGGCCCGGCTTGCTGCGCAGATTCCTTTGCTCTTTTCAAGCCACACACGCGAAGCGCCGCGACCTCGGCTTTTCCCTCGTTTCCAGCAACTTACTTGCTTTATATTTTGTTTTGTTTTGTTTGTTAAAAGTTATCAGACTGAAGCTCGGACCCTGTCACGTGTGTCTGTTGCGCGAGCAGTAACAAATCCAAGCCGAATGGAGCCGGACCTCCATGAAAACCTGCTAGTAAAAAGCCGGTCCTGGCATGCCAAACCGTGGACGCCAAGACCGCTAACTAGCCATGTTAGGCTCCAACCGGCTGGAGGAACAACAAGCAGTAAGGCAAAACCAAGGCATTCTGTAGTTGAGTTGATGTCAAATAGTCTGTCTCACAGTCTGTCACAGTCCCACAGTCCTATTGTTCACCTGTGGCTCTGTCTCACAGTACGTCTCACAGTCTTATAGTCCACCTTTCTCTCTGTCTCATAGTCCGTCTCACAGTCTTTTAGTCTACCTCTCTCTGTCTCACAGTCTGTCTCACAGTCTTTTAGTCCAGCTGGTGGAGGGAAACACCAGCAGCAAGTCCCCGGCAGCAAACGTGCCGCGCAGGTCACCGTGCACCCACCAATAAAAGCTATCACCCCAACCGCCGGGAAAACAAATGCCGCCCGTGCCAGCTGTCATGTCTTGCAACGAGGCAACCAGCTCACCTGCATGCCACCACCAACCCACCCACCCGTCAAGGGCCCAGAATAAACCGGGGCACAGCTCCGCCCCACACTGCACATCCTGAAAACTAACTATATACTTCAGTATCCAGAGGGGTCCAACAACTGGCCGACAGAGAAACGGGGCCAAGGAAGCAAACCAGGGACGAGGAAGAACAGCAGAAAGCCGTGCCAGGAAGCTCCCCTCCGCCAGGGAGCGATAACGCAGGAGAACCAGACCTGTCTTTCTGTCTCTCAATCCGTCTCACAGTCTTTTAGTCCACCTGTCTCTCTGTCTCACAGTCCATCTCACAGTCTTTTAGTCCACCTGTGTCTCTGTCTCACAGTCTGTCTCACAGTCTTTTAGTCTACCTCTCTCTCTGTCTCACAGTCTTTTAGTCCACCTGTCTCTCTGTCTCACAGTCCGTCTCACAGTCTTTTAGTCCACCTGTCTCTCTGTCTCACAGTCTTATTGTCCACCTGTCTGTCTGTCTCTCACTGCTTCTCTTTCTCTCCCTGTCTGTCGTTCTCTCTTTCACTTGTTCTGTCTCTCTCTCTCTACCTCACCATCTTCCTGTCTCTCTAACCTTCTCAGACTGCCTGTCTATCTGTCTTTATCTGACTGTTTGGCGATGTCTTACTGTGTGTCTGTTTGTCCCCGTCGCTGTCTGACTGACTGTCTTAATCTGATTCTCTGCCTATCGCTCACTGTATGTTTGTCTCTGTCTCTCTGACACTCACTCTCTTCCTGTCTCTCTAACATTGTCTGTCTTTCTCCCCCTTAACTTTCTGTCTGTCTGTCTGTCTGCCTTTCTCCCCCTTACCTTTCTGTCTGTCAGTCTGTATATCTGCCTTTCTCCCCCTTAACTTTCTGTCTGTCAGTCTGTATGTCTGCCTTTCTCCCCCTTAACTTTCTGTCTGTCTGTCTCCCTTCTCCCCCTTTCTGTCTGTCTGTCTGTCTGCCTTTCTCCCCCTTACCTTTCTGTCTGTCAGTCTGTATGTCTGCCTTTCTCCCCCTTAACTTTCTGTCTGTCAGTCTGTATGTCTGCCTTTCTCCCCCTTAACTTTCTGTCTATCTTTTTTCTTTTGACTGACTCATTTCAACTTCCGTTTATGTCAGTGTAACAACTTTCATCATTTTAGTAACTTATTTTAGCTCTGTTCAACTTCCAAGTTCTTGCAACAATTTTTCCTCCAAATGGCTCAGGACCATAGCCATTGGTCGTTTGGTTACTTCTTCGTCACCCAATCAGGAAGGATGTACCTTACTGTTCTATGTTGCGTTTGGTCGAACAAAAGAGCGCTGACTCCAGACATAGAACCCCCTTTGATCTACAGGAATACACAGTCTTTGCTCTACCAACTAGTCATACATCACAACAGGGGTTGTCTCCAAAACGGTCGACACCCAATCTTAGGAGTCTATAAAGAAGGAAAAGGATCCTTCTGGCTCTAAACAAAGAGGTGTCAGTTTTGTTCACATAACAGAAGAGGAGATAAACAGTGGTTTAATTAACATTCTAATGCAATCATCTGGCCTAAAACCCTGCAGTTTTACATTTAAAGAAAAACACTGAAACACTGGAATACATTAAGTTTTTAATTTTTTAAAACTCAACACTATAATTCAGCTATGTACTACTTTGTGCTGTGATTCAGCTATGAACTACCTTGTGCTTGATGCTTGCATCCTATGTTATTGCTAACCTTTATTATTATTGGGTGTGAATGCTGCATCCTATGTTATTGCTAACCTTTATTATTATTGGGTGTGAATGCTGCATCCTATGTTATTGCTAACCTTTATTATTATTCTTCCATCACGTTTTTTTGTCCGCTAACTAGTCCCACAGCTTTTGACGTAGAAACTCCGTTCAAACTCCAAGTTGTCCGGCTCAATGAGGAATGGGGTGCTATTACTTTTGTCATTGATACCTTGAATACTTTTCAAAATATTCAAGGTTTTCCAGGAATATTCTCCCATTGTAAGTGAATGGAGAGACCGTCGAAATCCTCCTCATACCAACTCTACTTTGAAAGCTCACCAGTTCAGCATACTTTCAGCTACAGACTTGATTTCAACTGTAAATTGGTCACAAGAAGTTAATCTATTAATGATGTATTCAGCTTTTTGATATATTTTATGGTTTGTTCACGCTTGCTGTCGAAGTTTTCTGCTTTTTTGAGCTCTTTCCTGAGTTTATAATGGGTGTGTATTGCGTGAGTTAGAGTGGGTGACATCATCACTACAGTGTAGCAGGCTCTGAAAATTGTCTTTTGTCAATTGTCAATTTTCTCTTTAACTCGCTGGCTTGACCAAAATTTTAACTCTTCATGCATAATTTTACACCAGAAACGTAGTAAATTATGTTGTGGTTCCTCACATGGGCTTTTTAAATCCCTCGGAGTTATAGATTTGTTTCTGTGTCCTTCCAAAGGACAAGAGTGACAGAAAATTCTCCATTGGCTGCCATTGTAAGTTCTCCTCAAATTTTCTTGACCAGAGCAGGACGTACCAGTTATTCAACTCGCCAAAATGGTCAATTTTTTCAACTTTATCCAAACAAAAAATACATCATATTGTTCACAAATGCCTTCTGCCACTCCTGGTCAAGTCAATTTGTCGATATGACCTATAGTTTAGTCTCTGGGGAGGTTTGTTTGAGGCAAAGATTTAGATAATTTCAGAGGGATATTCCTATGTGTCTCTGTTGTAGAGCTGGTTACCTTGGTGACGTAAATTAGCTGATCAAAGATCAAAGGACTGGGTCCTCTGTTCTGATTGGTGGACTGAAGTTAAGCTATTTTCTGAACACCTGTTTGTGTCCTCTTCACTGAACACATACACACACACATTAATACACTGACAGACACAATACACACACACAGAACCCTCAAAGCATGGAGCTTTAAACTTTACTGAATGGGAGAACACATGTATGCATAACTGTGTGTCCCAGCAGGTGCGCGCACACAATTTCTCCAGACATTGCGGTGCATTGTCTACTTTCATGTAGTTATTCTCCAGCACTGTGTTAAGGCTTTGCCACGTGGACAGAAATGTGTCAGCTAAGTTTGCGAGAGAAACAGAGGATGAATATTATTGGCAATAAAACTGTACAGCGTGGAAGTTCAGCTCACAGTTCAGGGGCGGCTGTGGCTCAGGAGATAGAGCGGGTTGCCCATTAATCGGAAGGCGGTTCAATCCCCGGCTCCTCCAGGCTGCATGTCGAAGTATCCTTGGGCAAGATACTGAACCCCGAATTGCCTCTGGTGGCTGTTCCGCCAGTGTATGAATGTGTGTGAATGTTAGTTTCGGTTTGAGCACTTTGGCTCAATGAATGAATGTATGTGTGAATGGTGAATGATGTAGTGTAAAAGTGCTTTGAGTGGTCAAAAAGACTAGAAAGGTGCTATACAAGTACGGAGCATTTACATCAGCCAGCTAAACTTCACATTTTACTGCCCTGGTGGAAAACACTTATTTTTACTGCTGACGGCGTTACGATAACGATACGTGTGCCTATCAAGTGACCTTGTGAGTGATAATGCTTATACTTTCAGAATTTGAATAAAAAAATGTATTTGTTTGTAGTCTATTGCTTGACAATTGTGCACTATTTGATAATTAACAGTGTAAATGCCCATTAAAAACGTTGCACCATTTAACCACAAGCTAAAATTATGTTATTATTATCAGTACTAGTTTGTGTTTCTATTGTATTGTATTTTGGTAATTAATTTGGAAAAGGAGCCTAGATCCTCACCAACCACTGCCTTTGAAAACCTAATGTATCATGTGGTTTATAATGGATTGTAGTGCAGAAACAGTGAGGCTTACATTGTCCTGTTATCTGTCAGTGGTCATACTTGATGC